CAAATTTTGTTCGTTCTTTAATAACTTTCACATCTAAAAATGGTAATTCAAAATTGTTTTCAATTTCGTATGTGAATTTCAGATTTGGATGTAGTTTATTCATAAATTCAACTAGATCTTGAGCATCCTCTTCTTTACCAGCTAATAGAATGAAAGTATCATCAACATATCTCAAGTATAATTTTATTTTTTCGTAGTGCTCATATTGTTGTAATTGTTGTTCGACGTTTGTCATGAAGATATCTGCAAGGACGGGTGCCAACGGACTGCCCATTGAGACTCCGCCCGTCTGTAGAAACGAAACGGTGTGTCAGTGACGGCAAGCTGAAATAATTTTCTAAGATCTTTAGAAGTCAGTTTTGTAAAATTTTTCTCACTTTTCTTTTTATCCATTATTATTTTTATTGCTAATTCAATTGCTTCGTTTACATCTACGTTGGTGAATAATGATTCAACATCTAAGCTTAACATTAATTCATTTTTATTTACTTTCTTCTGTTGAATCAATTTTGCAAATTGAAATGAATCTTTAATGTAGGATGGTGGTTTGGATCTTGCACGTTCAAGTAGACTAGTAAGATATTTAGCTAATTTATAATTATAACTATTTGTTGTAGAAATAATTGATCTTAGTGGAAAGCCAATCTTATGCACTTTTGGTAGAGCGAAAAATACAGCACATCGAGATCCAGTACATTTGATATAATCATAATCATCTTGAGATAGTTTCCTAGCTCGTTTCAATTCATTTAAACGATAATTTAATTTGCCTTCCATTTTCTTCACTACCCAAGCAAATATCACCTATGGGAAAAATCTAGATACATTTCGTCTGTAATCGGGCGATACACGACTAGTTGTCATCTAGATTACTAGTTGGAAAAGGGACTTTTAACTAGATGAGTCTGCAGGTGCATCTAGTAATAGTTAAATCGATCGATTATCGGGCGATAAATCGATAATTGCAACTAGAAAAAATCTAATAATCGCCCAGTTACTAGATTTCCACTATCGTTACACGGTAGTTGTAATCGAGTAAAAATCTAATAATCTAGATGAATCGGGCGATACTAGATTTTTTTTTGACGCTTGGGTACATTTTCAATTGCATTTATTTTGTCTTTCTCATCTTTATCATTCATTTTCCGAAAAGAGTTTCCGGATGATAATAATTCTAGCACTTTCTGTTTATATTGTTCTTTATCCATAACTACACATGATGAGCCTTTATCAGCTTTCATTATAACTATCGATTTATCTTTTAATAGACCTTTTAATGCAGTCAGTTCGGTTTTATTCACGTTGATAACTTTCTTATTTTTATTACTTTTTAATGCCTGATTTGCCGAACGTCGAATATAATCAGTTAAACAAGCGTTCAATGAAGTAGCTTCAGGTTTATCTAACTGTTTCAAAATGTTGAAGGCCATCATTTCGATATCTGTTTGAAATTCAATTGAGTTCTTAATTTTCATTTCAATACTCTCTTTGTTCTTTGCCGCTACCCAAGCAAATGTCACCTATGAGAAAAATCTAGATACATTTCGTCTGTAATCGGGCGATACACGACTAGTTGCCATCTAGATTACTAGCTGGAAAAGGGACTTTTAACTAGATGCGTCTGCAGGCGCATCTAGTAATAGTTGAATCGATCGATTATCGGGCGATAAATCGATAGGTATAACTAGAAGAAATCTAGTAATCGCTCAATTACTAGATTTCCACTGTCGTTACACAGTAGTTGCAATCGAGTAAAAATCTAGTAGTCTAGATGAATCGAGCGATACTAGATTTTTTTTTGATGCTTGGGTAGATAAAGCTGATACCTGACGTTGCTTTTGTCTTTGCATCTAATTTTAGCTTATGTTTGTTTGGTGATGATCTTGTTTCCTTACAAGATGGATCGTTAAAACAGATGAAAGATTTACGCAGTGGTGACAAGGTTTATTCAGTTGACAAGCAAGGTCAAATTGTGAAAGATGAAATAATTATGATGCTACACGGAGGAGCAAAAACAGAAGGTAAGTAAATACTGACTTAAGGTGAGAGTAAAAAAGACAAATGCATATCTGAACGTTTCAGTTTTGACACTAAAAATATGGGTAAAAAATCTGTCTCTTTGGCGCTGCGAAAGAAGTTGCAAATCGAATGCTCTCCCCTAGAAATTTTCCGGTGCTGCTTTTACTTGTATCATCTACTTTTGAAAAGCTTTTAGGTTTAACGAGCACTCAGGCCTTAGAAGGGCGGGGTCTAACATTTTTAGATATGTCCGATAATAAAATCTGTGTTTTAGTTAGTCTTTTTAAGACATGAGCCTGAAACGAAATTGGGTAATACAAGCGCTGCAATATAAGTCAATATCGCAGGCAATCAAGGAAAAAAAGGAACATATTGTTTGGAGAGCGTTTGGGGCTAACTGTTTAGGCACTTGAGCTAGACATGCGGCTTTCACCATCGAATATGCGTAGAGATTTAACTACATTAGAAAACATGTGTCTTTCCACTGTACTAAACACTCGGCCGATGTGCGGAAGTGGGAATCAGCCAAAGTAGTTTCGACTTCTGTTTCCTTTAGCTCCCTTCTACACCGTGACAATTTCATCCAATCGAAGTGTTAGTTTAACCGGTGATCATCTGATCATAACCTATAACAAGCAAAAAAAACGTTCACACTTCGTTGCTGCAAATGAACTCAAGGTCAATGATTACATTTTGATGGGTGCAAGCCACTCTGAAAATCTACAACCGCAACTGATTACATCAATTGAAGTCCTTTACAAAACCGGTTTTTATACTCCAATGACCTACACCGGCACCCTTCTCGTCAATGAACTTGCCGTCTCATGCTATGTCAAACATGAAAATATGTATGGTGAAATGCATGCCTTACTCTATCCGTTTCGTCTCTACTATTATCTCGTGAAAGATGTCCTGCAACTCAGCGAAGAACCGTTCCCCTTTGCAATGCGAGTTGGTACCGAAAATGAAGGTGAATTTTACGGTACACAGTTAATCCGGAGTTTACATCAGTCGAAAAAGACAATTAAATACCTTGTACAGAATTTGCTTTTACATACATTTTTAAATATTTGATAAAAACAGAATTCTAGTTCAGAAACATTTTATATTTCATATATATCTGCTTGCATTTTTTAAAAGTATGATCTGGATCTTTCGTTCTAATAAAACTGTTGCTTTTAATCATGAATCAGATTTTTTGCGACCGTCATTATCGTACTAACGAGAAAACCACCTGAAGTGCGCCCTCGCTTTTGACCTGAAACTTAGTGTACTAGGGAGTAATTGAACACATTGATTTGAAATTTGAAACACCACCAACGCCACCAGGCATAACAACACATGTTGGGATCATCATAACATGAACACAAATTATGTTGCCATCGCCCATCATTTTTCCATTTTTTCAACCATGGAGGCGTTGTCTCTTTGTCAACCACACCATTAGACGTTTTTCTCGTGCAGATATATTACTTTTACTTGGTTGTTGCTGAGTTACTTCATTATTACGATGCTCATCATTATTATATAACTTAATATTATCGCGCATTTCGTTCGATTTTGGCACATCCTTTAAATTAAATTTGACATGCATACAATTTCAAAATTTTGCGCACAAAAACGATTAAAACATCCTGTTTTTATAATATCTTATTTCAGATTGTCATGTTGATTAAAGTTACTTTAGAACAGTACACGTTAACAAATGATATTGGAGACGAGCTTTGCTGCTTTGTAGAATAAAAATTAGGAACAAAACGATCTTATGGAAAATCTATCCAACCTAATCTAAAGTATCGTAACCTAAAGTCCGATGCGGGAGAATAAATGGCGGTCTCAGTGTTGTTTTGTCAATATCTCTTTCAGTTTGCATCTTTCGGACTTGAGTTTTTTTAAAAAGATTTGTCGTTGAATTCTCTACAAATCTTTGTTTATTTATTAACGTAAAAAGCTTTTATCATGTTTTGATACACGATACAATCTATTGGTCCAAGATGAACAACTTTCAAATACAATCGCTTCTCGGATTTTTTGCAGCAGCACATTTTAACTCTCGAATTAGTGTTGCTTTGATGTCACTTTGGT